TTATCGCATACAGCAAAGGCCGCATATTATTTCGAATCCATTTAATTAATATGTTTCAAATGTCTGCTGCCCCCTCAGGAAAATTGGTTATGGAATTCGTTGTCGTTCGACTCCCCCATGTCATTTAGTTTAGTAGCAGTAGCTTAAATTAAAAATTCTTTCAGAGCAGAAATTCTGTGCGGAATAAGAGGAGGTGATCATTCTAATCTATCGAGCATAAAATCAAAATACACGCAAATTTTTAAAAAAGGAAACCTAAAATAATATGTTACGAAAATGTGAAGAAGCGAGATGAAAATCAATTCGGTAATGCACAGGCGTGTTTTGCTTGAGACAAGTAATAAGCGACTTTCATCTAAAAACCGTCCATGTTGTGCAAGCTAGCAAAGATTCTTTGGCGAAATGGAATAGGCCACATTGATGAAACCGTGAAAATTCTTTGCGGAAACCTGGGGGAGTTTTTATGAGCTTAAAGGAATATGTTGCAAAGATTTGAAGCCTGTGAGAGAAGGTTTTCTGGAGAATACTTCGGTGATACGAACCAGCCTTACAACCGCACCGGGCAGGCCAGCAGAAATTCTTTGCGGAATATAACGAAGCCGCTATAAATATAGAATATAAAAAACCACTTTTACAAAAAAGGAACTAAAATAATGTGTTACAAAAATGTGAAGGAGCAAGAGAAAAAGCAATTCTGGAATGGATAGATGTGCCATAGCCGCAATTCTGGATTGTTTGAGTCAAGTGATGAGTAAATTTAATTAATTTATGAATCGATCATCTGGGCAAGTTAGCAAAGATTCTTTGCGGAAATTTTGGAAAATATTTGGCAGTGGAATGGGCCTCTTTGATGAAACGTGACAAATTAATTTGGTGCTAATTTGGTCTAGCCAGGAGAGAGAGAGAGAGTGCGAGAGGGCGAGAGAGAGTGAGTGAGAGAGAGTGGAAGTGAGAGGAGAGAGCGAGTGAGGAGAGAGAGAGCGTGAGAGAGTGGTGAGACAGTGAGCGAGCCAGAGAGAGAGAGTGAGTGCGTGAGAGAGAGCGAGAGAGATTGAGAGAGAGAGGGAGAGAGAGATAGAGAGATAGAGCGAGAGAGAGAGAGAGATATATTGGAGCGAGAGAGAGAGAGAGAGAGAGAGAGAGAGGCGAGAGAGAGAGATAGAGCGAGAGAGATAGAGAGCGAGAGAGAAGCCCGCAGAAGATTCCGGATAAGATGGCTTGAAATGGAAAAAGTTGTGTTACATACAACGAGGTCGTCGAGCCCCGAGGGTATTGATCTTGCGCGGGCGACTCGGCGCTAGGAATATATTGGCTTTTTGTCCCCGCAAAAACACTGCAAAAGGTCAATGGATTTATGGAAATTGGGGAACAGATAAAGCATCAAACACCCGGGGTTTTTGATTTATAAAAAGAGACGAACCGGTCCAATATTTTTGAAATAGCTGATCCATAAATGGAAATAGATGAAACATACTTACATCAAAAATTTTAAATTATAAAGAAGGGCTAATCAAAAATAACCTTATCCCTTCATTAAAAAAATTAAAATTCCAAAAACAAACTCTTCTTGCTTAAATATCTTGACGAAAAACTGTTTTCGATAAATTGCAAAATTTGCTGACCACACGGTTTTTCACTATTAATTCATCAAAAACACCCCGCTAACGATGGGAATATACGAAACCTACTTTTTCAAAAATTCAAAAACAATTACACAAACAATCTCTGCTAGCTAGCCCTGCGTATCTACAACTCACAAATTTTACAAAAACCGCGCTGATCATGAAAATAATTAAAACGTACTCCTATTAAAATTAAAAACCTCCAAAAATTTCTGCGCATGAAAAGACTTAATAAAAAAAAGCTGTTTTTATAAAATGCAAGATTGGTGATGATGAAAGTTACCCATGCGTTGCCTATATTAATTCTTCAAAAACCGGGCTGACACGGCGAATAATTGAAGCCTACTTTTTCTAAGAAAAGTACAGAATTCCACAAACAATCTCTGCTAGCTAGCCCTGTGTATCGACAACTCAATAATTCTTGAACCGAGCTCCCAATGGAAAACTAAACATATTCCTATTAAAAATTCCAAATTCTAAGAATCTCTGCTCATTGAAAAACTAAACGAAAAACAATTTTTGTATGATTGTATATGAAAAATTCTCTTACTATGGAAATTAATATTTCGCAAAATGCGCTCTTGAATGAAATAATTGAAACGTCATTCGATTTTCAACTCATTAATCTTAAAAAAACGAGCGGAACATGGAAATAATTGAAACATACTCCTATTAAAAAATTTGAAATTCTAAAAATTGTTAATGACAACGAAAACAAGAGACTTTTTACAAACGAAATTTTACGATAAAGATAATGACACAACGTAAATGCGCCGAAGAATAAAATAGTTGAAACCTACTTTTTCTAAAAATTCAAAATTTCCCAAACAATCTCTGCTAGGCTAGCCATCAAATGACTAAGAAACTAAAAGAAAACGGTAAAATTTATACAAACCAGAAAAAAATGACGAAGCGCTGAACATTATTGTCTGAAAAACCTAGCTCGCCATCTGAAAATTGGAAACCTACTTTTCCTAAAGATTTAAAGTTTCCTCAAACAAACTCTGCTAGCCTGCTCGGTACCGGCTTAAATTCTAAACGAATAATAATTCCTTCAAAACGGTGAAATTTAAACCAACCAGAGAAAAAAATGAGATCTAGCGTAAAGGATCAATGAACCTACCAACAATTGGCGTTTTTGCAAACTGGGGTGATAATGTGGATAATTGAAACCTATTTTTTAAAAAAAAATTAAAATTTGTTTCTAAAATTTCCTAGAAAATGGTTTTGATAATGTAGAAGCATTGAAACCTACTTTTTATCAAAAATTTAGCTAAACTTAACTACTACTATTACTTTCAACTTAAAAACTGAAATATTTTTAGGTGAATCACTAAAGGCAATCAAGCAGCAAACGTTCAGCGGGTCAGTACGTCAAGAGTAATGAATTTTTCAAACAACCTAGCAATGTAAAAAAATCGAAACCTACTTTTTTCTAAAAATTTAAGATTCCACAACAAATTTGAATAAACCATTCATATATAAGCTTGGAAATTTAGCAAAATTCGAAAATACATGATGCATCGTAACGATTTCCGATGTCAGCAAAGAAGTTAATGAATTTTTAAAAAACATTTTTTGTACATGGAAAACATTGAAACCCACTTTTTTTTCCAAAAAGTTTAAAAATTCCATAACAAAAATGCTGTCAGTAGCCCTCGACCGGTTTAATGTCTCAAACGGAAAACGATTTTAAGAACAGAAATATTTGTGTAAATGGGAGAAGAGGTAAGGCAGCAGGTATGAAAGCTTTCGGACTTAATAATTTTTAGAAAACTGGTCTGATATTGTAAATTATCGAAACATTATTTTTCTTTCATTAGAAATGACAGAATATTTCTAATGTCAACGATTTAACGCAGCGCTTTTATTTTTTCTTGTTTTATTTATAATTTTTCTTGGAAAGTAAGTGTTTTATTGTTTCTTTAGTTTTTATTTTCCCTCTTTTTTTCTTCCGCAGTTTTATTACTTTCAATAATTTCTCAAAAACCGACCTGATATAGTGCAAATGATCGAAACACGATTTTGTTTAACTAAAAAATAGGCATAGTCTAGCGCCACCGCAGCGCCACGTTTTCGTGTTTTTTTTGCTGTCCTTCTTATTATTCTTGCACAGTAAACGTTTTAAGTTTTAAACACAATGCGAAACGAGAGCGCGAAAAATTAAACCGGGCGCCAGAAAAAAAAATATTTCGCCTTTTTAGCGCTACCAGTCACTTTTGGCTTGCTTAATTCGCGTTAGATTTCTTCGGCCCAACACATTTTCACACCAACTCCTCAAAAATTTAGAGTTTTCGATTTTAATAGTCTTTGAAGACCACGAAAACTAGATCGAACGAATCATGGGCATGAAATATCTGTGTTCCCAAAGAAGGAATCGGTTATGTAATTTTTGAAACATAAATTTTCATGGTTTGGTTACCTAAAGCGTCCTTACGAACAACTCGAAGGAAAAATGTTTCACCTTGTTAGCGCTAGCGGTAAATTTTTGGATTTTTAATTTGTTTAACAAGCCACCATTCAAAGTAACAAAATCGGCCAAAAAATTATGGTGCGGGTGGACCTGCGGGTTATATACCTGGTCAGGGGCGTAGCCAGGAAAAAATCTCGGGGGCTCCCAAAATTTTTTCCAAAAATCAAAAGATGGACGAGAAAACAGCGCCGCAGGCAAAATTTTGGAAAAAGAGGTTACATAGCTCTACAAATAGCCGGTAAAAAAGTGAAAAAATAGCGCCAGCAGGCAGCAAAATTTTTGGAGAAAATGAAAATCATAAGGGTCCCATTATGAAATCTTCAGGCCCCGGCCGATTTCTGGGGCCAGTAGGGCCCTAAGGGTATTACGCTACGTCCCCGTACCTGGTGTGATCCATTTAACGTAGCGTGAACCCTTTTACTACCCAATTAAAAATAATTAAATTTTTGAAGTAAAATATTTATTGGGATTCGATTGGTCAACCTGAATACTTTGCCCGAGCAGCGGTCGCGTAATTAGATTTTTGAAACCCCGATTTTTTTTACCTTCTCATTTCACAGATTCTCATTACGATCAGGCCCAACAAAAAAATGATTCAACTTCTTTGGAAACTCGGAAAATTTTGGGTTTCTTAGTTTTTTTATCTTTAGTTTATTCTAACTCGCCAAGAAACCCCCTAAAATATCTTTTATTTTTCGTAAATTCGGAATTTCCGATGCCCTTAAACTTTCTCCATGTCATCAAAAAAATTATTTTAAAAAGATTCATTTATTCAAAAAACCACGCGACTGGTACATAAAAAGCGAGTGATAAAGAGAGACAAGGAAAGAGCGAGAGAGAGCGAGAAAACGAGAGAAAAGAGAGACAGCGAGAGAAAATGATGGGTATTTCTTCGTATTTCTTCAATCCGAGTCGACGAGCTTGCGCGTGCACCGGTGGCGGTCCTGAAAATTCAACAATTTAGCTTATGAAGTTTTCAATTTTGAGGGCAAGCTAGCAGAGGTTTTTGTGGAAAAATCTGATTTTCCCTAGGTGTCACTGCGCCTTTAAAACTCAAAAAAATTAAACAAGGCAAGCTAACATGGATTTTTGGGGAGAAGCGTCTTCCTCAAGGTGTCTCGCCCCCTTTAAAATGTTTCTATCGATTTTCAAAGGCAAGCTAGCAGAGATTTTTGCGGAGAAAATGATGACCAGGATGTCACGCCCCCTTAAAAATTATTCAACCGGTTTCGGGGCAGACTGGCAGTGATTTTTTGGGAAAAATTGAGCCTGAGCTACCTAGCGCTGTCGAGGGCAAGCTAGCAAGGATTTTTGCAGAAAATAAAAGTGTCACACTCCCTTTGAAACGGACCCGGCTAATGGCGTGGAGGGTGGATGATCGAGTCATTCCCCGGCTGCTGCTGCTCCTCCTCCTCGGCGGGCGCTGTGGCTGCTGCTGCTGCTGTCCCTGCTGGTGTTGACGGCCCGATGATCCGCCGCTGCTGCTCGGAGGACCCGCGACGCGGCTGCTCCCCTGCGTCGTGGTCCGCGTCCCCACGACGCCGCCCGCTGCCGACACAGCAACCGCAGAAGAGTGGCGCTCCTCCTCCGATGAGCGGTCTTGACTAAACGAGTCGTTTTTCTGGGGAGAGCGAGAGAGAGAGAGAGAGAGAGGGAGAGAGGGAAAGAGAGAGAGAGAGAGAGTGTGAGAGAGAGTGAAAGAGGCAGAGAGTGCGAGAGAGTGAGGGAGAGCGAGAGAGAGCGAGAGAGAGAGGGAGAGAGAGGGCGAGAGAGAGAGAGAGTGACAGAGAGAGAGAGCGTGAGAGAGAGAGAGAGAAAGAGAAAGAGAGAGAGAGAGAGAGAGGGAGAGAGAGAGAGAGAGAGAGAGAGAGAGAGAGAGATACCTGCTCCTCTTCGGATTGAGCCCGATCCCGAGCGAGCGGATGGTGGACTGAAAAAAAATTAAATGTAAGAAAGCAAAAAAAAAGTTGAATTTTTCAATTTTTTTAGGCAAGCTGGCATGAAAACACTTTAAAAATTTACATTTTAATTGCCTTAAAATTATCCTATTTTTTAATTAATGAAAACGATATCTAAAGTTTATTATAATTGTCGGAGCAATACCTCGCACTAATTTGAAAAATCCTACCGCAACTTTGCCATTAAATGAAGCATATTTTTGTGCACGAAAGATTTTCGCGATTATTTAATTAATTTTATTTGATCCAAAAGTCGATTTCACGCAGTTAAATTGGCATTCATTTTTCAGCCACTCAAATTACTCGTATTAAAAATATTACATCGTCATTAACCGAAGCCACAGTAATGCGAAACGTTTTTGCGGCAACTTTCGGATTGAATGAAACATTTTTGTATTAGGCACAACTTTTTGCGCTCATTTAATTTATTTAATTTTCAGCAAAAGTTGATGTCACGCAATCAACTTTGGGTTTGTTCGAAGCATGAACGGTCGTCCATTGGCCTGAGAAATTTCACCTCAACTTTACCATTAAATGAAACATTTTTTTATCCTTTTCCCATGTTTCCCAATTTTGACACCGCAAATTTGAAGGTATGAAAATGATAATTAAGTTTATCCCCATTATTTTCTCGACAGATATTGAAAAAAATCGATATCAACCTTCTATTTGATCTAAAAGATCAGAAGTTACCTTTGGCCGGTAGCCGTCGCAGTAGCGCGAGCTGGTCGCGTCCTGGCGCACGGACTGGAATGAGATTAGATGAAAGTTATCAAAAGCCGACTAATGTCAAGAAAACTGTGCGTTTAAAGGGATATTGAAGGTAAAAAACCCTGTATTTTAACAGGAAGCCGAACAACTTTTAGTTTAAAGAGACGTTGAAGCCATAACAATCCCATACCAAGCGCGACTCCTCGGGAGTGACCGGGGAGTGACGCTGCACCCAGTCGAGAGGGGCAGACATTGAGCCGTCGTTGAAGCGACAGGTCTGAAAATCGGCGTGGCAGGCTAGCAGAGATCATTTGGGATGAGAGAGAGGGGAGGGGGTAGGCTAGCAGAGATCATTTGGGATGAGAGAGAGGGGAGGGGCAGGCTAGCAGAGATCATTTGGGATGAGAGAGGGAGGGGAGGGGGCAGGCTAGCAGAGATCATTTGGGATGAGAGAGAGGGGGGAGGGGGCAGGCTAGAAGAGATCATTTGGGATGAGAGAGGGGGAGGGGCAGGCTAGCAGAGATCATTTTGGGATGAGAGAGAGAGGGGGAGGGGCAAGGCTAGCAGAGATCATTTGGGATGAGAGAGGGGGGGGGGGCAGGCTAGCAGAGATCATTTGGGATGAGAGAGAGGGGAAGGGGCAGGCTAGCCGTGATTCTTTGAGGAAATTCAAGCCCCCACCAGTTCAACAGCCTGGCGCAGGTACCCGTAGTCAATCTGCTGCACGTAGCTCAACTCGTCGATGTACTCCAGCACGGCCACCATGTACTAAAGGGAGTGAGACAGCTAGAAAACCCGAACCTCAGGCCTGGAGAATCCGGTGAACAGGTCGCAGGGGCGTTCGTGGGCCTTGGGCTGCCTGCGGTACACCTCCTTCGTGTTGTCCATGTTGCGCCACGGCAGTCCTGAGCATCAGCTTCTTGAAAGTGAGCATGAAGTCCAACCTCCAGGATGCACAAATTCGGCAAACAAATACACCCAGCACTCCAGGTCGTCCTTGCCGCTCTGCTCGCGCAGCGCTGTTGGCACGCCAGCGACGCGTACTTCACCGTCCCTTTAAACGTGCACTTCCAGCGGGGCAACTGCAACGAGTACGGTAACTTTAAAGGGACCGTGACACCACCTTAATCTCTCCATCCTCATTCCGAATCTTCTCGAGATCTTTAATCCGAGCAGGTAGACAACGTGGCGTAACGGCGCCGACGCCGATGGTCAGGTTGGACGGCTTGATGTCGCTGGAAACGAGGAAATGGTCTCCGCTAGCCTGCCCCTCCATTCCTCAAAGAATCTCTGCTCGTTACCGATGGATATCCGGAGTGCATGCATGTCTTCGAGGGCTTCAAGCGTCTGCTCGGCGACTTGGCAGGCCGTGGAGATGGTGAACACCTTGCCGCGACGCTCACGCTGCACGTCCTTCACCGACTTACCGACGAGTTCCATTACCTGGAAAGAGGCCGGCTAGTGAAGATTCTTTGAGGAAACGGGCGAGCAGAGAGAGGGCCAGAAAGAGAGAGAGTGAGAGCGAGCGAGAGATAGAGAGGAGCAGAGATAGAGAGGAAAAGAGAGAGAAAGCGAGAGAGAGGGTGGAGGGAGAGAGACAGAGAGAGACTAAAGAGAGAGGAAGAGAGAGAGAGAGGAGAAAATAGAGAGAGAAAGAGAGAGAGAGAGAGAGAGAGCGAGAGAGGGGAGACGGAGCGAGGGAGACACAGAGAGAGAGAGAGAGAACGATACCCTACCATAAAGACGAATTCCGGTCGACTGCCCCGGTCGATGAGTTTTGTAAAGTGGAGACAGCGACGGTCACTATCGCCGGCGGCAAGCAGGATTTTCAGCTAAAAAACGCTAAGTATACTAGACTACAAATTTCAACTGGTGCCGTTTCACCAATAACTACAGACTAGAAAAATGTTAAAAAATGGGATCTTTAAACTAGAAACTACGCCCAGGCTACAAACTACAACAACCTCCATCTTCAGCTTGAGCTCCTTGCCGGGCCGGCGGCGCTGCTCAATTTTCATGGCGTAAGTGAGGGACGGGTCGCCGGCGACGTGAACCTAACGGGGAGAAAAACTAGGATCTAGAGCACAAAATGAAAAAACTACAAACTACGAGCCGCAAGACCGCAAACTACAAAAATCCAGATTGCCAACTACAAAATAGATGTGATTAAATAACCTACAGGCTACAAGATACAGAATTTAGTGAAGCTGTAGGCTACAAACTACAGAATCCAGCCGACACTACAAACTACATTTCGATTAGACTATAAACTACACGATTTTAACGTTACTACAGACTACAAACCGTGTACATAATTTTTTCCAGACTACAGACTACAAGCCATAAGACTACAAGCTACAAAACACTCGAGATTACAGGCTACAAAGCACATACAATTAAAATAGAGGCCAGGCCACAAGCGGCACAATTTAGTTGAGACTATGAGCTACAAACTACAGAATTTCGACCAAACTATAGACTACCGGAGAAGAACCCTCACTACCGGCTACAAACTAAATCTGCGTTTCATAAACCATAAACCACAAATTGATTGCCTACAGAATACAAATTCACCGCATAAGTACCATACTACAGACTACAAACTACGTAATTTATTCCAGGCTACAAACTACAAACCTTGTCCGCCCCGAAGCCGCCCTCGCCGAGCAGCTTCTCGATGACGTACGGCGTGGTGGCCGACCAGATTTTTGTGCCCTGGGAAAGAGAAAAATGATCTCTGCTAGCTGCCCTGGATTTTTTTCCTCACGAATCCATGCTAGCCTGCCCTTTTAAATGTCCCGGCAAGCCAAAAATGAATACCTTTTTGAGGGTCCTGATGCCGAGCAGCCCCTTGACCCAGTCCATCTTCTTCTGCGTCTTCTTCTTCTATCGATCCGTCTTCCGGTGGGGGCCAATTGCGCAAGTTTCGAATACCAACGATGTAAGTACGAACAAGTACCAAGGATTTATTTCTGAAGCAAAAATTTAATTTTTTTTAAATTAAAAAAATTGCTAATTGCAATGGGAAAAGCGTTCACGAGTAAAGCCACCAAGAATTGGATAATTTTAGGAATTTGGTGAAACACGTTTTTTTCGAAAAAAATTTATGAATTAGCATCTTTAGCCCGAAAAACCTGCTAAAAACCAGCCACCCACCTTGTAAGAGAACGTAGAAAAATGGGGGAGCAGGATTTTGGCTTTTTCACATGTGCGTTAATTTTCGTATGCTAATTTTGTGAGATATCGTAATTTGGAAAGTATCGTACTGAGGGAAGTACCGTACTCCACAAATGATCGTATTCCGATTGGTACGATAGCTTTAAAGGGACCGAAACTATGTTTTTCGGAATGCACCGTAGGCCGGAAAGTCGCGGAATATCTCGAAAATCTGCAATTGATCTTTCCCGCAATCAACATGTTTCGGAAAATTACAGTAACCCGTGTTGACCTGAGAGCACTGTAAACGAGAAAGTACCGTATCCGGATAGTAGTTCGATTTTAAACGGAACATGACTTTTTTTGCTGAATGAGAGACCGTAACTCGGAACGTGGCGTACTCTCAAACAGTACAGTACCCAAATGAACGTATGCCGGATGGTACAGTATTTTCGAACGTAATTCTAGCCTTACTACGAAGGACCGGGTACCGTAAACTGGAAAGTGGGTACTGTAATCGGACGCGTAGCTAAGTTTTAGACGGTACGCCACTTTCTTTTGAAGGCTCAGAGACCGTAACCCGGAAAGTAGCGTACTCCAGCAAGTACCCTATCCTGGCAAAATTGCGTGTTTCGCAAGGGCATAGGACTTTTGAGCATCTGTAGTCCGTAGTATTGCGTAATCTCAGAGAACGTCTAGAAATCATTTATTCATTTTTAGAGCATCACATGGCAAAAGTGGGGACAATGCAATGTGAACATCTTCACAAATAGAACAACTCGAATATCGTACGGTATGTCGCAGCGTAGCGTAGCGTATCGTATCGTATTTTTAGGTACGCCCGCTGACGTTCACTTCATCAGATCCCACATCGTTTGGGTTGGGCATCGGATACGTCATCTGGGGCTGCTGCTGCATCATCGGCGGCTGCTGCTGTCTTGGATAGCTGGAGGTGCCGCTCTGGCCCTGCGGACGCCACGTCTGCGGGCCGTCGTCGGCTTCTGGAAAGTCTCGGGCTTGGCTTAGGCTTGGCTTAGGCTTGGCTTAGGCTTGGCTTAGGTTGAGCTTAGGCTTAGGCTTAGGCTTAGGCTTAGGCTTGGCTTAGGTTGGGCTTAGGCTGGGCTTAGGCTTGGCTTAGGCTTAGGCTTAGGCTTGGCTTAGGCTAAGGCTTAGGCTTAGGCTTAGGCTTAGGCTTGGCTTAGGTTGGGCTTAGGCTGGGCTTAGGCTTGGCTTAGGCTTGGCTTAGGCTAAGGCTTAGGCTTAGGCTTAGGCTTAGGTTGGGCTTAGGCTGGGCTTAGGCTTAGGCTTAGGCTTAGGCTTAGGCTTGGCTTAGGCTTAGGCTTAGGCTTAGGCTTAGGCTTTAGGCTTGGCTTAGGTTGGGCTTAGGCTGGGCTTAGGCTTGGCTTAGGCTTAGGCTTAGGCTTGGCTTAGGCTAAGGCTTAGACTTGGCTTAGGCTTGGCTTAGGCTTGGCTTAGGCTTGGCTGGAGGCTAGCTGAGGCTTGCCAGCTTGGGGGCAGCTTAGGCTTATAGGCTTGTAGCTTTGGATTACGGCTTGGCTTAGGTTGGCAGAGCTTGGCTTAGGCTTGGCTTACGCTTAGATTTAGACTTGGCTTATGCTTAGCCTTAGGCTTGGCTTAGGCTTAAGATTGGCTTAGGCTTAAGCTTAGGTCTAAGCTTCACTCACCGCATACAGCGGAATGTTGAGGGTCATCCCTCAACGTCCTCGACCAGCAGCCGGGCGTCTTCGGGACGGCTCGCCTCGGCGGCGCCGGAGGCCCACCACAAAAGATCACCGCATCCGGGTACGGCGATTCACGGCAAGCTGAAATTAGTGAGTGGCTGAGCACGGGCTAATACTGACCGTAGGTGACGTATGTCCACCCGCCATCCTTGTTGGTGACGTTCTCGTGGAAGGCGATGCCCAAGTCTTCGATGCCTATCTCACGCTTCACCTCGACGCATCCACCGTGGTCTGGGTGCCAGGGTTTGGAGATGACGTCACAGGTGATGGCCTGAACAAGGAAAGATAAAAACGAAGTTGAAGCAAGCTAAGCTTAAGCCAAGGCCAAGCCGTACATTGCTATCGACAGAGGCGAAGTAGGCAAAAATCAGCAGAAAAAAGAGCTGACGGCTCATTTGGGCGAGTTTGCGTTGAATGAAAATTCACCGAGCAGCCCAACCAGATTGCCAAAATTAAAATTTGAAAGGTATTTAAATCCACCACCCGCATCTCTCTCACTCTCTCTCTCTCTCTCTCGCTCTCTCTCATCTCACTCTCTCTCTCACTCTCACTCTCTCTCTCTCCCTATCTCTCTCTCTCTCACTCTCACTCTCTCTCTCTCCCTGTCTCTCTCTCACTCTCTCTCTCACTCTCTCTCCCTGTCTCTCTCTCTCTCTCTGACTCTCACTCTCTCTCTCTCTCCCTGTCTCTCTCTCACTCTCTCTCTCACTCTCACTCTCTCTCTCCCTGTCTCTCTCTCTCACTCTCTCTCACTCTCACTCTCTCTCTCCCTGTCGCTCTCTCTCTCCCTGTCTCTCTCTCTCTCACTCTCTCTCTCTCTCCCTGTCTCTCTCTCTCTCTCTCTCTCTCTCTTCTGTGTTCTCCAGCAATCGTTTATTCGTCACATACAGACAAGTTTGAGCCGACAATGCAAATATGAACATTATCACAAATATAGAATCGATTTGTGGCGGTATTTTATGCTGGAGTCGCTGGCTTCAAGTCTGGCCCCTTCCGCTGACATTCGACGCCTCATCCGCTTGATCCTCGTTGATGGGGGCCGCCGGATAGACGATGGGGGGAGGCTGCTGTGGCATTACGGGGTAGTTCCGGGGGTGCTTGTCTGGCACTGGGGGTACTTCCTGGGCCCTGAGCTCGCCACGTCTGCGGACCGTCATCGGCTTCTGGAAAGTGGCAGGTTGGGCGAAGCTTCACTAAGGCGCTTGACTTGGCTTAGGCTGGCATTAGGCTTGGATACTGCTTAGGCAGCTTACTGGCTTAGGTCAGCTAGGGCTTACTTAGCTTAGCTTAGCTTAGGCTTCACTTAGCCTAGTATTAGCTTTAGGCTTCATTAGGCTTGGCTTAAGCTTAATAGGCTTTGCTAGGCTTCATTTAGAGCTGCCTTAGGCTTACTTAGCAAGCTTAGACTAGGCTTAGGCTTAGGCTTAGGCTTAGGCTTAGGCTAGCTTAGGCATTACTGCTTAGCTAAATAGAGCTTACGCGCTTACGCTTGGGCTATTAGGCCTTTAGGCTCAGGCTTGTCGGTCGCTCAGGCGCTTGGTTTAGCTTACAAGTTAGGCATGGCTTAGGCTTAAGAGGCTTACGTTAGGTTTAAACTTAGATTAGTTCATTTAGGTCATAGGCTTGGCTTGGCTTAGGCTGGCTTAATAGGCTTGGCTTAGGTTTGGCTTAGGCTTGGCTTAGGCTTGGCTTAGGCTTGGCTTAGGCTTGGCTTAGGCTTGGCTTAGGCTTGGCTTAGGCTTGGCTTAGGCTTGGCTTAGCTTGGCTGGCATAGCGGAGTAGCTTAGGCGGAGGCTAGAGGCTTAGGCTTGGCTTAGGCTTAGGCTTAGGCTTAGGCTTAGGCTGAGGCTTAGGCTTAGGCTTAGGCCTAGGCTTAAACATACCTTCACGACGCCCCCGAACCCAGCAACACTTGCAGATGCAGAAGATCGCGCAGCAGCACAACAACAAGCTGACGCAGATGGCGATCAGGGTCCCGACAGGGCTCCTGGAAAATACGGCAATTAACTCGTCCGGAACAGATTTCGACCGACTCATCATCATCAACATGGTCATAGTCATCATGGACGAGGTAAACGACTGGCGGATAGGTGGGCGGGCCGATGTACTCGGGACGAGACCAGCTAGGGGTCGAGGGGGTCGAGGGGGTCGTCGTCGTTGGCGTAGTTGTCGTCGTGGTCGTCGTCCACAGCTCCTGCACAAAAGAGCGGCTGATTTTCCATCTTTGGCCAAAAATTAACCTAGGTCATGTAAATCTCCTAAAGCGTACGCGATTCCTGCGGAAAACCGTCATCCCTCCCCCGCTAATAGTCAAGTACCAAAAAACCCTACCGGATACGTGAAATTCGCAGGCCTGGTGAAGACACGCTGCTCACCCAGGGCCAACTTTCCCTAAAGAGGATCATGACGTCCTCCTTAAGCTCGGCTCTGTGCGTTAGCGGGGGGCAGTAGGTAGGACTCCCAATTGGCAGCCAGTAGGCGTCTTGAACAAGGAAAATCTACCTCCCTCCCCCGCTAACGAACCAGTACTCCAAGATCACTCACCTCCTTGTCGTAATACTCCAACAGCATCTTCAGGCTGATGCTCATCGGGGCCTTCATAGACGATATCATCCCGTAGTAACCTGCAAGACAAGACTCCCCGGTTCTTTTGCATTATCGGGGGGGGGAGTGAATAGAAAGGTTTTAATAGCGTTTCTAGTAATATACAACTGTATTTCAAATAGAAACACTATCCTAAAATTTTTTTGGTCGAAAAATCTATATTTTTGTTGTTTTTTAGGCAAATTTTTCAAGGTTTCACGTTTAGAAATATCTAAAAAAACGCTTAGAAACACTGCCATTATTTAGATTTTAAGAAATAGGTCCTAAGAAAAAAAAGTCCCCCCGATAATGCAAAAGCGCCAAAATATCGATTTTTTTTGAGCGGAATTTAGACCCTGAACAATTTTCCTAAGCGTTTTTCCACTTGAAATATGTAGGGAAATTTTGCTAAAAGATTCTTACGAAAAGAACACTGAAACCTAAGCTTTGCCTAGTTGCAAAATGACCCTACTGCATTCAGCCGACGAGTACGGCCGCGCCACCCCCGCCCAGCAGCCGGGTTCAATTTCTGGCGGCGTCTTCGGGCCGCCGCAGAACGAATGCAGCGGGCCGCATGCTAAAATAGCGAGGGTGTGCTGGGTACTGGGCTGCTAACGGGGGGGGGGACTGACCGTAGGCGATGCGTGTCCAGCCGTACCCATCGGTGTCGAGCACATTCTCGTAGAAGGCGATTTGATCGTTCGTCCGCCGGGGCTCAAACTGCATCGCACTGCACTTATGCTCGGGGTGCCACGGGCGGGCTGTGATACTGCAGACGATGTCCTGAGTCGGGAGGTTTGCTTCAAGACTAAGCCAAGCCCAAGTCAAGCCCAAGCCAAGCCTGGCTTCAAGCCTAAGCCAAGCCTAAGCCAAGCCTAAGCCAAGCCTAAGCCAAGCCTAAGCCAAGCCTAAGCCAAGCCAAGCCTAAGCCGCTCAAGCCAAGCCTAAGCCGAGCCATAAGCCAAGCTCCAAGCCAAGCCTAAGCCAAGTCCGCCGCTTCCAAGCCTAAGCCAAGCCTAAGCCAAGCCTAAGCCAAGCCTAAGCCAAGCCTACGCCAAGCCTAAGCCAAGCCTAAGCCAAGCCTAAGCCAAGCCCAAGCCAAGCCTAAGCCAAGCCTAAGCCAAGCCTAAGCCAAGCCTAAGCCAAGTCCAAGCCAAGCCTAAGCCAAGCCTAAGCCAAGCCTAAGCCAAGCCTAAGCCAAGCCCAAGCCAAGCCTACGCCAAGCCTACGCCAAGCCTACGCCAAGCCCAGCCAACCGCGTAAAACGGCTGGAATTCCTTGTAGTCGTTCGGTCCACGCGGGAAGAGTACACCATAGCCGAGGCGACCGTCGCGAGAATCGATGAGGCGCTTGAAGTCTCGGGAGACCTTGAAAGAAGCATGAAAATGAAGTCTGGTTCGTACCGGGTAAGCCAACTGCGGCCAGAGCCCTGTCGTCGCCGCGTCGTCCAGGTTTTCTGAAGGGTAGATGGTTCCCAAATGATCTCTGCTGGCTGTTACCACAAATTCCGGACGAGTACGGCGTCGGCTTCTTCACATTCTTCCAGCATCCCATTTTGTCGCCGAGCTGTCCCGGGGCGGTCGCCGTCCAAGGTGAGGTACCGTCGGCACCCTCCGAGCAGAAGACAGCGTCTCGCTCGCAGACTGAAGATTGAAACGGTGCGATTAACGACAGGGCGTGAACGAACCATATGTGACGATGGCCATGCTGCCATCCTTCTGGGTGATATCCTCTCGGAATGCGATGCCCCAATCCGCTTCATTGCTCGTCATCTGGTCGAGGGCCGGTCTGGTCATCGATTTCTTGCACGTCCCCCATCCCGGATGATAGGGACCGCCCGTCACGTCGCAGTAGACCGTCTGAAAACTATTCAAGATGGCATCCCCGAAATCAGGCATAATACAGGTCCGAACCGCTTGAAGGCGTCGGGGCTAGACTCTAGTTTACCCCCCCAGCCGTAACTTTTCAGCCATACGTCCTATTAATGCGCCGAGTATCTCAAAATAAACCCCGTGGTCGAATTACTATAAAACAGTTGTTTCCTTACATCAAAAATTGTTAGAAAAAATTTGATAACAATTATAAGACTGGGTTTTCTTTAGTAAATTTTTGCTGTTCCAAAGTGAGTTTTCGTATCTCGGCTATCTTTAGTCGTACAGAGCTGTCAATGGTACCAAAATGTAGCTCTTGCTTTGTAGAATAAGCCTACAGTACGCTTCAGTCAAAAAAATAGCGGAAAACAAGAATATTTGAGTTTTAGACTCCTAGTACATCGAAGCATAGCGGCTTAATATTTTCAACTTTCAAAATCTTGTAAAAAATTTTTCTAGCAATTTTTGCCGCACGAAAACAACCTTTTTATAGTAATTCGACCATTTTGACATTTTGAGATACTCGGCGCATTAATAGGACGTATGGCTGAAAATTTGAGACTGGGGGGCGGGTAAAATGCACCCTAACCCACCCCCGTACTCCCAGCAAACGAGCACTAACCTTTGGACGACGAAGCTCCAGCGAGCCGACACCCTCCAAACGATGCTGCTCCTTGCCGCATTCGCCGCTGTAGCTGGCCGCCCACAACTTGTAGTACTCCTCGGACACTGGAAAGTTGCGGATTACCTCGGAAAAGAACCCCCTCCCCGCATTTGCTCATTTTTTTTTACTACAAAAAAAAACTAACTCATAATCGACGGGGCGCTCTTGGACGTGCAGGTACATGGATGTTCGACGTCATGCTCGGCCAGCGGGTAGCACCCGAATTGATCGGCGGCCGTTTTGCAGACGTGGTGGCCGAGGGTTGGGCAGACTAGGAAACGAGCACGAGTAAGTACCTCTTAAACCTTAAATTCGCTACCGTAATATACGTGATATTCCCCAAACTGCTCCCTGAACATGATCGAATTCGGGAGTCGACTATTCTCTTCGGGACCCGGATAGCAGCCATTCCCTGGCCAGTAGAAGCTCGGCCCGTTGATCGCGCATGTCACCTGAAAAAAGCTATTTCCTCAAAGATCTCTGCTAGCCTGCCCTGAAAATAAATGACAGAAATAATTTGGGACGTTTAGGAAAATCGCAAAAATTCTGAAATTCTACATTTTTGACGGCGACCCCGAGGCTGGCGAAAACCAGCAGCAAAAGGAGCTGCCGCATTTTTAAGGGTTCGGTCGGATAAGAATAAGCTTCAGGGCCATTTAAAAATTATAAAATTTAAAATTTAAAACAGCATTTTATTTAAATCCCGTATGGAATAGGTGCTTTGTGTCTCTCTCTCTCTCTCTCTCGTCTCTCTCTCTCTCTCTCGGGTAGATTTCTGCGGATTATCCTCTAGGAAGCCCAGCCGGTCTAGCAATTAACCTCGCTACCCCATCCATGGCTACGGGTCAGCACTATTGACAGCAATATTCCTGCCTTTTGGTCTCCATTTTCTCAAAGAATCTCTGCTAGCCTGCCCCCTCCCCCTCTCTCTCATCCCAAATGATCTCTGCTAGCCTGCCCCCTCCCCCTCTCTCTCATCCCAAATGATCTCTGCTAGCCTGCCCCCTCCCCCTCTCTCTCATCCCAAATGATCTCTGCTAGCCTGCCTCCGGGCTTTCATCTAGCCAATTCCTAGAGTCCCATTGGTACCACTGGGTACCACAGTAGAGGCCCGTACCTCCTCCGGGGGCACAAATATTTGGCATTGGTGTGCCCTGGGGCTAGAGAGAGAGAGAGAGAGAGAGAGAGAGAGAGAGAGCAAGAGAGAGACAGAGAGCACCAAACAACCTCCCTTTCACCTCTACCTATTTATTTACCGGCTGCCCCCACCAAGGACCTACCGAATCTCCCTGTGCCCCCCATTGGATTGACCTTTGGCTTATGTAGATTTCTCTAGCCTTTCGATTTTTAGGCTATAATAATTAAATTTTGAATTAAATTAAAACGGAATAAAAGAAAAATAATAATAGATTTCTCTAGCCTTTCGATTTTAACGCCGGAAAAATAAAGTGTTTCGTTGATTTAAAGCCGGCAACTTTTTCCAAAGTGACCATTTTGGTTCGGAATGTGACGTTTTTGTATTTTTTATGAAATTTTGTAAGGTTTTTACGTTTAGGAAAAGTCAATAATAGCATAGAAACTTTTTGCCTATTTACATCGGAACTTTAGATGTCTCGAATTTCTTTCCAATTTTAACGCCATAAAAATCTGGAGTTTCGTTTCTGAAATGCCTTCTCGATGTTCGCTACCTAATTGTTCCTACAAGTTTCTTATAACTTTTTGTTAATGCATAAAAATATTATTTTAAGAAGTTTAGTAAGTGCAAAATGGAAAAATGCAATTTGTACGAAATTGGCTATTTTCCGTCGAAATCGAGATTTTTGTCATTTTTAAATAAAATTTTTTAAGTTTTTAACTTTAGGAAAGTAAAAAACTGTTTGCAAAAACTTTCTTTATTTTATATATAAATAATTGGCGATTTAGGTTAAAATTTTCCACAAAAAATGCTATCAAAAAATTTTATGTTTTACCGGTAGGGGCTTTTTAGAACGTTCAAAGCGTCTTAATGGTGAGTCGAGCTCCGGGTGAATGCTAAGAATTGGGTTAGCAGAGAGGCTTCGAGGAGTACAGGGAGCGAGAGAGGGAGAGAGAGAGAGGGAGAGAGAAAGGGAGAGAGAGCTAGAGAGAGAATGAGAAAAGACAGAGAGAGAGAGAGAGAGAGAGAGAGAGAGAGAGAGAGAGGGAGAGAGAGAGAAAGGGAGAGAGAGACAGAAAGACACAGCGTGGGCAGGCCAGCAGAGATTCTTTGAGGAACGCTATCCGGCGAACTTGAACACAACAAAGTTCGGCCTCTAGCCCCCCTTTTTTTCACGGCTTTTCCCTCCCCTCGGTTTCATCAAACAGAAATTTTTCGGGCCGGGAAAATATTTGGTCTTCTGCTGCCAGCTGCTTTCTAGTGCCGTTCCTCTCATTTTCACTAGCAAAATTCCCACATTTTTTCTTTAGGAATTAAACCGATTTTTCCCCTGTCATACAATTTCGTTGAACCGTTTTTGGAACAAAATATTGATTTTTTGGGCGCATCGGGGGACAACAAGCCCGGCGATTATTTGCACACACATGCATGCCATGAAAATGGCAATATTATAACGACATCGCTCGATTTAATGGGATTTAAAACTTATTAAATCGTATTTTCGCTTCGGAAATCCGCAGTTTAAGGGCATTTTTGTAGAAAATGCATTTTTCCGAATTTTTTTATATTTTTCGGGGTTTTTTTTTGCTGCAAGGCTTTGAAAAAGGGAATATCCAAAAAAGGCTATAATTTTCGAAAAGTTTGTCGTTTAAAAAAATATGTTACGTAAATTGTTGATTTTAGCTAGTGGACTTTTCTGGTATTGCATGGTCGTAATTGCTATTTTGTATTTTATAATTTTGCCCTTAGATCGGACTTTTTTAACTGCCGTAATGCCATCTTTCCTACCTGAAAATTCTTATTTTTTGTCTTTAAAAGGCTGCAGGAAGATGGGCGGGCGTCCGTCGGGGTGACGGACCGCCGCGGCGCTCCCATCGACGCTTTTCCTCGCGTAAGCGCCCCCAAAACCCCCTCTCGCGTTTGAAGAAACCAGTTTATTGGCTATAAGTTTTTCATTTAGCACTGTTTTTGACTAAAAATTTCCATAAACGAAGGACTGAGTGATACCCATCGATGGTAAAAATTTGAGCCGGATTGGATTGAAGGCGGCCAAGTTCTGGGCTATAAGGGGTTTTGGGTCCCTGTTTCGGCTGAAAAAGAGGCGCATAGACAGCAAAAAAACCCCTGGAAAGGTGGAAAGTACGTTGCTATCTTTTAGCTAGATTTTCTACAACATTTTTGGCTATTGTCTCTTCGAAATTGCTTTATTTCTAATGGTAATTCCAAAGCGGGCCCGATTCGCCCCCAAGCCATTTGGGGACCCTCCTCCGCCCCTCCCCACTCGACTCTTTGGTATAGTGGCTAGCGCATCAGACTGCGGGGCGGGCAACCCAGGTTCGACCCCCGCCCGGTGCAGCCTTCTTTGCTTTTTCACCCATTCGATCTTTCTGCAGCCCTTTAATTGTTTTTGTTTCTTTTAAACGGCACATTAAAAGGTATCGCCCCTGAAAGACTACTCCATCAAAAAAGAATTATTACATCGTTGAAGTTAGCTTCTTAGGTTATTTTTGCTAAAAACCGTGGATATTCTTGTTTTGTATGCGTCTTTTCGATTTTAAGGTAATTGGCCCATGAAAACTAGAATCTCGAGATGACACGGGCATGACATTAAATTTATAAAAATCTGTTACAGCGCTTCTTCGGGTTGAAACTCACATGTTTAATGACAATTTTTTTAAACACCCGTATTTTATGCTTTAACAACTTTTTGTAGGTTTTAAAAAAACAGTTTAGTAGTAAGTCATTGCCGTAAAGCCATGAAATGCCGATTTTTTGGGTTACATCTTTTTTACGCACAATCCATTTTTAAATTTTTTTTGGCACAAAAAAAACCGCCTTTTTGATATTTAAAAATTAGGCTATGATACCTTTTTATTTGTCGGCCCCTTTAAAAATGGACCCCCCGACCGGAAAGAGGCCTCCGGACAACACTCATTACCATGGATACGGTCCAGCCGGGGCCGGGTGCCACCTGCCCTAACACCCCTAAAAGCCTGGATTTTCTTGCTATACATCTATCTCTCTCTCTCTCTCTCTCTCTCTCTCTCTCGCGCTCACTCTCTCGATCTCACTCGCTTCCTCTCTCTCGCTCTCTCACTCTCCCTCTCACTCTCTCTCTCTCTCTCTCTCTCTCTCTCGCTCTCTCTCTGTCTCTCACTCTCTCTCGCTCTCTCTCTCTCGCCTTTTCGTAAAGCCCATCTAATTCAGGTGCTAAGCCAAACCAAATCCGGAGATGGACTCCGTTTCCGTCCTCCGCATCGTGCACTTCATTTTAATGGTGAGGATTTAATTCGTGGTTTTAAAGGCACAAACAAAGCAAGATTTACCGGATATCTACAGCCATAAAAATTCTGGGCAAGCCTTGACCGGCCCTTTAAACGGCCCAGGAAGCTAAAAATCGAATTCCCATTTTTAGGTTCTCGCCATCGCCGGCCTGTGCTTGACGAGCTCGATTTTCGACTTTATCGTCTCCAACCGAATGTATTACACGCTGCCGGAAAAGGTTGTTAAAGCTATACACCGTTTCAGAAGGATAGAAAAATGATGTTTAAAAAATTTAGCAACATCCGGGTGGAATTAAAAATTTAATGCGGTTTGGTTCCGACTTTGAAATACATCTAATACGCAAGGTGGTACGCGGAGCGAGAGAGAGAGAGAGAGAGAGAGAGAGAGAGAGAGAGAGGGTGATAGAGAGGGTGAGAGAAAGCGAGAGAGAGAGAGACAGAGAGAGAGAGACAGAGAGAGACAGAGAGAACATATTTTACCACTGGTCACCTCAATCATTTGCCCTGAAAATCAATATTTCAAAAAATTACCAGGGATTCCTTTGGAATTAACCGTTAATATGGTGACTTCCTGATTCTCGACCGTCTACCTCTCTATCCATCGTCTCTCTCTATCTATCCAAACATCTACGAACTATCCATCTACCGAAAGCCATGAAATATTTTTTTCTTGGAAATATTGATATTTTTTAAAAATCCGGGCTACTATTTTTGAAAGATTTTTGAGATGTTTTAAGAAAAAGAAGAGGACATTCTTAAGAAGGAAAAAGATGTTAGAACAAGGGAAAAATTAAAAAATGATGTTTCAATAAATTAGGACGAATTTGGCTGAACAACCGGATTATTCACTCTGCATTATTGACGCTGCACTACTGTTTGCAATTTATGTCAACCCAATTTCAGGGCTTTAAAATGGAATATTAACCTTTGCAGCGCGTGCTGATCGACGAGAGCCTGTGGTGGGTGTACTGTATCACGGCCACGCAGCTGCTGATCGTCTCCTTTTGTTCGCTATTCTTCTCGCAGGCCTCGCAGCCCCTCATCGACACCGCCAGGAAATATGAATGCTTGCTCGGGTTTTTGGTAAGCTAGCAGAGATTATTTGGGAAAATAAATTTTTTAGCTAATTTTTTATGTCCTTTAAAAATTTCAGCACGGCCTCTCCCTGCTTGGAACATGTCTTGGCGGAGCTGTCTGCTGCTTCAAGTCCCTGCAAACGGCTTTTGAGGTGAGAAAATGGCGCTTTTTGAGATTTTAAAGGAGCTCGGAAGTCAAAATTCGGTGTAATTACATGTCGTAATGCGATGTAAGACCCCCAATCTCTCGATCTCGGCGATTCTTTGACCAATTTTCATAGTTAAAACGTCTAGAAAGATCAAAATTCGATGAGGATTCGAGAAATAGCGTCACAATTTTCAAATTCAAGCGTTTTCACGCCCAAAAAGGGGCGAAAGAAGATGCGGCGCGGTCGCGGTGCGGCCGCATCTGGCTATTTGCCAGGAATCAAGGCTTAGGGGCGTGGACCACTTTTCGGAGACTTTTTAAAGAGCCCTGCCAGGCAATCGATTTTTTTTTAGCTATGGATTTCCGGTTCTTTAGGATTTCCGGGGAAACCAAATTTTTTCGGTCCAATCCTAAATTTTTTTCTAAACAGCGCATGCGTTTCTAAATGGTTTTTAACTATTCCTGAGCATAAAAACTATCCACATTTTAATTAAAAAATTTAATTTTAGGTCGAAAAATCCTATAGAACCTTTAGGATTAGCGGGGGGAAAGACCCAAAATGACTAAATTTTCGACTTTTTCAAACATTTTTCTAACTTTTTTGAAAGGTTTTTCTACTTTAAATATAGTTAAAATTTACTAAAAACAATGTGAAAACACTTTATATTTTATTACTAGGTCAACCGGGAAAACCAGGAAAAAATTTGGTTCCCCCCGGAAATACTTCCCCCCCCCGGAAATCCTAAAGAACCTATGGATTTACCGCGATCCGCGACACGCGACGCGCACGCTCTCGCTTTCATGGCGTAATCGATTACGCCATGAAAATAGCGGCGAAGCGGGGCGCGTTCGCGTTGCGTGTCGCGGATCGGAGCGGATAACCCATGGAGAATCCTTCGCCTAGAAAGTATAGGCTAGACTTGCTCGCCCCTTTAAGATTCATTTCGTTTTGGTTTTTGAGACAGAGGCAACGCAAAATTAAAATTAGGCAGAAAACCTGAAGGATATTTTTATACAAAACACCTTTTTTTCCAGATCCACCCATTTGCCTACAACGCGACGCCGGAACAGTTTGAAAAGGCATCCCATTGGTACTACGTCAGGATGGTGGCTGCTACGGTATGTTAACGATCTTTCGGAGTTGCTCTGACTGCGCCGCGACACGCAACGCGCGTACGCTCCGCCTGACCGCTCTGAGCTGGTTTTAATGCATTATGCAATGGAAGTGCGAGCGCGTTGCGTCGCGCGTGTGCGGCAGCCTCAATATTTTGCTATGCGCGCGACACACAACGCTTCCGTTCCGCTTGGCCTCCTTAAAAAAGTGCAACTGTTCCACGTAATGAAATTGCGCGTGTACGCGTTGCGTGCCGCGTGTGTGAAACATTTTCCCAGCGGGCGACACGCCACGGGTAGACGTGGCTTGACCGCCCGCACAAGATGTAATGCGTTACGCAACAAAATACCGGGCGGAGGGGGCGCGTCGCGTGTCGCGGCAGGATGCAACTCTGATGGCTAGGATTGCCCATGGATTTTGCAAGCACGCGACCCGCAACGCACAAGCTCCGCTTGAGCCGTTTCAGCGGGTTTTATCCATTAGGCGATGAAATTCCGGTGCGGCGCGCGTTACGTGTCGCGGCAAAAATTCAACTCTGATGGAAACTGTTTGCTCCTGTAGATTTTTCCAAGCGCACGACCCGCAACGCACAAGCTCCGCTTGAGCAGTTTCAGCGGGTTTTATCCATTACGCGATGAAATTTCGGTGCGGCGCGCGTTGCGTGTCGCGGCGAAATCCAACTCTGATGGAAACTATTTACGCCTGTAGATTTTCCAAGCGCACGACCCGCAACGCACAAGTTCCGCTTGAGCAGTATCAGCGCGTTTATCCATTACGCGATGAAATTCCGAGCGTGCGCGTTGCGTGACGCGTTGCGTGCCGCGGCGACTTCACTGATTACCTATTAAAACTGCATTAGATGTCATTTTCAGTTCGTTTTCGGCATCTCGGCCCTGGCGTGTCTCTGCGAGTTCCTGTTCCTCCACTGCGGGTTGAGGCTGAGACAGCGGAGTTTTGACAAGCTCATCCCCTCCCCAAATCAGCCGGCCCACCAGCCAGGAATTATTTATTTCTCGTAATTAATGATCCGTTTTTATAATCATTAATTCCAATTTTTCCACAAATCTTCGTTGATCTCCCCCGCTCATTTCCCAGCCCAAAAAAAATGTATGTTGCGTGTGATTATACCATCTACTTCAAGGCCAAAAGCTTTAATTATTTTTTGACGGATCACGGGAAATAAAAGTGCATTTTTCACGGTTTTGAAAAAGATAATATGCAGTATAAAAACGATAAAACCTATAAAAACTGAGTATCAGATAAAGCCTGGCACAGCCAACGCCGAAAATAAATAAATTAATTACTAAAAATTAATTACAAGACAATCTGAGCTAAATAAAAAATTAAAAGCAGATAATTTGTCGCGACCGCAAGCACCGTTGTTAATTAAAGGGATTGGCAAGGGAGGTCTATCGATTTTTCGACGATGGATTATTTTTAAGTTTGAAATTTTCTCTATTGATTTTTCCGCGAAACGCAACGCACACGCGTCGCTTCTCCGCCATAAAACGACGTAATCGATTACCTAATGAAAAGCGGCCGGGTGCGTTGCGTGTCGCGGTGCGGCGGCTCTGAATTAAGCCAAAAAAACTATAGAAATACCTTGCCAATCCATTTTTTATTCTTATAGACAATAGTTACATATTAAATTAATTTTAAAAAAATTAAGATACATCAAGAATCCTCATCCAGAGGAGGCGGAGGAGTAATGGCTTGCTTTTCTTCTTTTTTAGCTAACGCGGGACTCATGATCTTCTTCAGATCAGCTAACCGTTGCTTGTACGCGCTCGTCTCGCCCGCCTCTCCCACTTCTGAAAGCCATTTCTCGGCCTCGTTGAGCTCTTGGAGTAGAGAGGTGACTTCCTGAAATTCGCTATTTTTTTCGGCTGTAATGTTGACAAACCAAAATACCGACAAGCCAAGATTGGGGCCGGCAAAATGCCGAAATACCGACAAGCAAAATTCCGGAAATCAGAATCAATAAATGCCGACAGGAACAGGTGAAAAAGTTAGAATTCTTTCAAGCCGAAATGACGACATCTAGAATGCCGCCAAGCTGACCTTGCCGCGAAAATAAAACTAATAATCATAAAAGATCAATGCAGAAAATGCCGACAAGCCCAAATACCGACATGCTAGAGGCCTATGGAAAAAATGCCGACAAAAAGCCAATTCGCTAAAAATTACCTAGAAAACTAAAAAAAACCCAAGTTAATCTTTTAATGTCGGTATTTGGATAGGCATGCATCTTTAATTGAGGTATTTTGGCTGTCGGCATCTTTATGCTTTGCCGAATTTAATGATAAATGAGCCTACCTCACTGGAAATCCACGACCCTAGCGACCTGTTCAGCTTTGCCCTCATCTCATAGACATATTCCTCCACTGCATTTCTCGCATCCTGATTTTCACGATGTTTTTCGTCAGCGGCCAGGAGATTAGCCTGAAAAAAAACGTTTTTCAAAACGAATTCGTGCAATTTTAAAGCAAGAAAATATAGCCAAAATATCCTCCTCCTCACCAAAACCTCAATTTGCCTTTTTCCACTAGTTTTCCATTGTATACGCCATTAAAAATATCATAACGTTCCCTATGCTAAAAAATCACCTCAATCTGCCCGTACGCATTAATGGGAAATGCCAGCGAGTCGTTCTGAACGGGGAGGTGGATGGGAAGAAACACTGGTTTTTTGGAGGTCGATGGGCCGGCTTGTTCATCTACTTCGACGGTCTGAACTGGCCGCAGGCTTCCGTTCATCAGCGGAGTATTCGTCAGTGAAGACGACTAAAAGCGGAAGTTGAGAAAAAAACTCTGAAAATAAAATAATTGTAAAAATTAACTTTTACATATTACAATTATTATATATATTTTAGATTATTATATATATTAAAATTCTAAATTAACTTTTTTTAGTTTTTTTAACTAAATTCTTTAAAAAATCCGGCAGCTTACCGGAACCTCCACCGCCGGGGCCATCATCTCGGCTTTTTGCACCTGGAACATCCCATCCGCGTCGATCTCGAAAGTTACTTTCGTCTCGTAGAGGTGTAGAGGCTAAAAATGGGGTACTTATCTGTTAGCGGGGGGAATCTAGCCTATAGCAACATAAAAAAATTCCAAAAACGCGATTCTTTGGCATTATCGGGGCGGGGAAGAATTTTTTTATTAATCTTGAAATACCTAATAACTGAATGGCAGGAATTTTCATAATGTTTTGGGTCAAATAAAACTATATTTAACTCGAAAAACTATCTAAAAACTTTGTAAAATTTTCAAAAAATCGAAATTTTGGTAAAGAACGGCCAATTTGTCAAAAATAAAATCGATATTTTTGTGTTTTTTTATAAAAAATTCGTAATGTTTGTACGTTTAGAAATAGCAACAAACAGTTTAAAACACTTTGACAATTTATATTTAAAGAACTGGTTCCTAAGAAAAAATTCTTCCCCCCCCCTGATAATGCACAAGAACCAAAAATAAATTATTTAGCAATTTTTGCGTGTAGTTGTTTTTTTTAGTTTTTGATCTATAGACATGCCTTCCCAATCCCTTTAATAACCCCTACCGTTCCATAAATCTGATAATCCTTCTGTTGCTCATTGGTGGGCATCTTGATATCCCAATCGCCAATCTTTTGAGGTCCCTTCGTGGCGGTCAAGTGGCTGAAGGCGTGCACCGTGAATTCGTCGCCCCGTCGGAAGGACATCTCTCGTGTGGCTGGGATCTCGTCGCCCTCGTTGAAGATGACGGATTCGCTGAAATACCGCTGCTTTCGCCTTTTTTTGAATGACGAAAAAATTTAAAACATCGTCTTTTCATCGAAATCTCGTCATGTCGACTTTTTATACTGTCGGCATTTCAAAAAGTCGAACTTTCTTAATGTCGGCATTTTTTATGTCTAAATTTTATGACGTCGGCATTATCTAATTTTAAATTCTCTCAATTTCGGCATTTTAATGTCTAAATTTTCTAATGTCGGTATTTTACAATATCGAATTTTCATAATCTCCGCATTTTATAATGACGAAATTAAAATTCGGCATTTTGTTATGTGGGGAATTATCAAAATGTCGGCATTTTTTTTTCATGAAACTTGAGGACTTTTCGGACGATTTTTTTTATCGCATATTTCGACAGATTGAAATTTCGACATGACAAAATTTCCGACATTATAAATGTCGACATTTTGTTAACAAAACGGTACTTTCCTGTTAGCGGGGGGAGGGGCATTTTTTATATATGTTTTTCTAGTGCTTTTTGGTAGCTGCTATTATCAAAATCATTGTTGGCAAATTTTAAAAAAATTTAAAGTGAGTTTTAGAAAGAAAACGTTTCGCTTTTTATCAAAACCAAGAATTTTTCCATGGGGTTAATATCTTTCTGCCATCTATCCTTAAAACGGCATAAAAAGCTGGATAAATGGTGTGCATTTCTTTTCTGGGGTTTAACGTGGTTATGGGGCAAATTCCCCCCCCGTTAAAAGCCAAGTACCAAGAAAACGAATAAATATGAAATTTTCGAGTTTTTCGTAAATTTAAGTATTTTTAAGCTTACCTAGCTAAAAACAGTTAAAGTGCCTTAAAAATAGTTGGTATTTCATTGCCGGCAAAGTCTTTCATCACTTTTCACCTCCTGAACTTTTCGTAATTTTAAACGTTTTGTTACTATAATTTTTTATTTATCCTTTTTAAATGCTATAAAAAAATCTTTTTGATTATCGGGCCCTATGGATTTCTGGAAAAAATCAAAAAATACGATGGAATCCGACTTACAGATGAATTCCTCCTTGGCCCTCGTAGACGATGGATATTTTGTAGAGTTGCCGCTCGCGGATCTCGAATTCGCGCACTTTTTGGAGGGGAGAAAGCATGGCACATCGCAGTGTTGCACCCATCGCCACGGACTCCTCAGGGTTCATCGTCGATTTTGGGGGCTGTCCGAAGACGTCACGGCAAATTGCTTGAATTCGGGGTATCCGAGAAGCGCCTAGAAAACTTAATAATAATCAAATTTCTATAAGAATATCGAAAAATATATTTTTAGAAGATTGACCGGCTATTTTTGTGGATTTTAAGCTTATTATAGCTTGATTATAACTTGAAACACCGTTAAAACAACGAAAAACTGCTTCTCAGCCAAAAATTTAAGAAAAATTTCTGAAAATGGCCAAAACTTCTAGTTTTTGTACACGTTTTTTTGCAACGCTCAAACTAAGAAATATCTAAATTTTTTAAACTGAAAAAATGGACTTTCCTCTTAAATTTTTTAGAGGTTTTTCACTTTCTTATGGCCGATTGGTAATCGGAGACTACTAAAAACTACAAAATAATACGCTTTTTGTTTATTAGTAGACAGGAAAAAGCTCAAAAACAACTAGCTACAAAATGCTCACTAAAAGGGAAGCGCTCATTTTCACTGTTTTTAGTTTTGAAACATTGTTCAAAAATCTTAAAAACTAGAAAAACTGGCTTTTTGGTCGAAAGTTCAAGCATAAAGCCCTTATTAATTTAGTAAAATCATTATTATATACTATGATATACTGCTGCCCTCAATACGCACTTTTACAATTACCAAAAACACAAAATTCCACAACTCCGGGCTTACACGCTTTGGAAATTTTCCGAAACTCTTTTTTCATTCAATCAAGAAACTTGATTAAAAACGAAAAATAATCCAGAAAAAAATTCGCGGTCTGCCGTAAATCTAAGAAAAAACTTGGCGAAACTTACTAAATTAGCATTAGATGAAATAAATATCGGTAAGAATTCGACTAAATTTATTTGTTTAATACTTGTCTACCTGAATAGTATCTTAAACTATTCTCACTGAAACTCCTTTAGAAAATGCAACATTGTATTCGAAAAATTACGAAAAATTGGGAAAAATCGAATTTTCGGGCTTTTTTCGTATTTTTGTCATTTGTTAAGAAGCGGAAACTTTTAGAAAGACGATAAAAACAATTATATTTTACCACTAGCCAGGAATCAGCTAAACAAGAAAGAAAGAAGAAAGCCACTAAAAAGGAAGCGCCGGTATTCACTGTTTTAGGTTTTGAAACATCATTAAAAATCGGAAAAGTAGGCTTTTTGGTCAACCTCATTAATATTTAATACATAGATTTAATCTCTGCCTAATATATAATTTAAATATATATTTAAGCATCTGTAATTAACACTATAATTCTAAAAATTACGGACTTTTTAAAATTGCAAAAAACCTTCTAAAATCCACAATTCCGTTCCTAAAACGCGGTTCTAAATGCCGTACCTCCAAGCAACTCCACGCCGTAAATATCCGAAACATCGACATCCGCTTCTTTCAAAAGCCGCCGCAACATCTCGGCAAATTTTTCGAAAATCGCGGCCGCCAGCTTTTCGAATTCTTGGCGAGAAATCGTCGCTGAAGAATCAGCACCGTCCAGCAACCCTTCCAATTTCATTGGAATTGGCTTCGACGTGGCGGACATTAGCTTCTTAACCCTCGTGCATTCCTCTAGCACTTTGTACTCCGTGAAGACGTCGAGATACTTGGCGTTGAACTGCTCGACCAGGTGCTGTCGTATCCGCGCGTCAAACCACAGCCCACCCACTTCAAGGTCGTACGCGTAGGCGAGGATCTGAAATCGAGATCAAGAAGTTCGAATTTTTTTTAGAATTTTTGAATTTGAAATGTCTAAAACGCCGACAAAACGCTCGAACGCCGAAAATGCCGAATTTCAGGGTTACTTTCGAAATGCCGAAAATCCTAATGTCGAAAACCAGTATTTAGACATTAAAAATCCGAAACACCAATAATCCCGGAATTTCGAAATCCCGAAAAACAGAATGCCGACATCATAATTTGACACTGTTAAAAACCCAGGATTTTTTATAGAAAAAAACTCAGAATTTCGCCGTTTCAAAATGTCGAAATGTCAACAATCTCGAATTTTCAAAACCACAAAATTCATTGGAAAACAAAATTTAGCCTTTTAAATCTCAAAAATGCCGAAATCTCAACGCCGATACCAAAAATCCCGAAAATTTCGAAAAGCCCGAATGACAAGAATGCCGAAACGGGAAACTCTATATTTCAGAACGTCAAATCCCAAAAATCCCCCCAATTTTAATGTTTCAAGGTGTGACATAACTAAATCACCACGGAAAATACCTAATTACTGAATCGAAGGTGGATTAGGTATTCTAGCATTACTAAAGCGAGATGTCGACCTTCTGAATATCCTAAATTGTTAATTCGACAGTTTTATAAAGCTACTCTACCTTTTTCGACGTTATGCAAAGCTGAAAACCTTCCTAAGACCTACCTTTAATTTTCCCCTCGAAAATTGGGCTATCGTTGCCTGGGCGCTGGTGTGGCCGACATCCACAAAAACGACGTTTCGGGGAGTCTCCGAGGAGGTGGGCAGCTCACGATTTCGGGAAACTCCTAAAAAAGCTCAGTATCTCAAAAAACTGCGAAAAAATAATTTTATTTTGGCCAGCATTTGTTGATTTTGTCTCGAAACATCTATTTTTTATTTCTTAACAAATTTTGTGCAAAAGATGTTTGAAAATTGTAGAATACTGTGAGCAATACTGTTTTTTTTTCACTTACCGTACGATAATGCGATTGCCGTTGTCTCGTTGATGAGTCCGATCGGGTTAAGCCGAGCCGCCTGCGCGCTGCAGTCAGCCGCCAGCCGTTGCGTTTGATTGTAGTAACCGGGTACCTTAAATAGTCAATTCTAAAGCTTAAAAAACCCAAATAAACTTGATTTAACTTGTATTTCCTTCTATTTAAAATTAAAAAGTACCTACCGCAACGACACAGTCAACATGTGCAGGTTCTACCGGCAAATGCTTGAGGATTGTCGCCCTGACCTTGGTGAAGATGGCGGCCAGCACTTGCTCGATCGTGAACGTCCGTTCTCGGTCATGGTGACCGACCTAAAAAGCGCAGAAAATCCTCGGTGCTTTTCTATTAGAGGGGGGGGGGAGAATTTTTTTGCTCAGTAAACGAAACGAACATTTTTTGCAGCATTTTACAGAGCTTTTTTTAAACTTAGACGACCAAAAAAAGTTTCTTTAACGCTTCAAAAACATTTTTTTTTTAATTTCCCAGCAATTAAAGACTATTAAAAACTTACCAAAACACCGACGCCTTCCTCGGGCAGCTTGACAACACGTGCAGACACATAGGGCATCATCCGCTGCACCACCGGATCCGAAAAATCCCTGCCAACCAACTCCTTGAAGTTGAGGACGGTGTTCTAAAACGAATTTTCAATACAAACTAAGATTACTTACCCTCAAATTCGTGCTGACCTGCTCGTGGGCGGCGGCCCCCATCAGCCGCGTCTGCGCCCCGTAAGCAACTGCGCTTCTGAAATGGCAAAATTGAAGGCAAAAACTCTAGAAAACTTACGGGGTGCTGCGCATCGACCGCTCATTGGTGATCATCTCGATGCCGGTGCCCCGCACCATGCCGATGTACGTGGATAGACTGCCGAAATCTACCCCCGACACCGACATCGTCGAGTCTGAAAGTTTTTCCTTGCGGAATTCCTTATTTTCTAATTTTTCTAGATTTACAACAACTTATCTGCTGAGGCCCGCCCGATTGCCGAATAGTGTAATGCAAGTTTTCTTTAGCATTTTATATTCCGAAACACTTTTTTTTCTGTTGTTTTTGACGAGCGAATTATTTGCCTTGCATGGACGTACTTTCCTTTTAATCTAATTTTGGCTTTATCGCCTTTTTCTATATTTGCTTTTTTACTTTTAGAAAAGTTTTTTTAGTTATAAACGCCCTGATAGCTCTTACGCCTAGATTACAGTACAAAATGGCGCGAAAAACCGAAAAATCTTCAAATTTTGGCCCTAGGATCGCTCCAGAAAGCGCCAAAACCCTAAAAAACCCAAAATCCGCCAATTTCTGTTCCATCAGAATACTAAGAACGCTTGGGGCGCCCTATAAATTCTGCGTGGTTGCCCAGAAAGCGGGGCTAGGTGCGTTATAGGAGCGGCGTCTACGGTAGGCCTCCTGGGCCAGGATTGCGTCATCGCCCCTCTCGCAATTTTCGCATTTTTGGGTTTCTGGAATTTTGCTTTTTTGTTACTTTTTCTGTTAGTTTGATTGTTTTCAAAGCAAGATATCTATTTAGAAGCTTTAGCCGCGCTTTTGAAGCTTTGAAATGCTCGATTGCGTCATGCTTGGTACTCCTTTCTCGCGCTATTCCCTTTGTAAGAAAGTGCTTTTTGTAAGCATTTTGTTTTCTGGGCAATCCTTTTTAGCGGTGACAGTCCATCGCGTGAGAAAATGTGCTCTCGAATGAAAGCCGTATTGATTATGTCTGTATGGCCTCTCAGAAATTAGTATGCAAGGGAGGACGCAGAGCCCCTGCTGCCTTTTTCTAGGAAATTCCTTGATTTTACGGTCGATTTTTCGTATTTTCTTTGCCCTTTTTGATTTTGTTTTCTTTCGCCTTCGTTTTACTAATTTTCTCATACAACTTTTTCAGGAAACCCCTCACTCGGAAACCCAAGTCTTACTGGGTTTGCTACAACGATGTCGCGAAGCCACTTCCAACGCCCCGAGGCCGCCCTCAAGCGTGCCGAAGAACTCATAGCCGTTGGGAAGGAGCAGGATGCGCTCGATGTCCTTCATGACACGATAAAGGTACAATTTTTCTTGTTTTTTTTTGCATCATCAACTTTTTAGGCCCGCCGCCACAAGCAGCAATGGTCCCAGACGCACGAAGACATCATGATGATGCACGTCGGCCTCTGCGTAACGCTGCGCAAGCCCCAAGTCTGCAAAGATGCGCTCTTTCAATACAAGGCCCTGTCGCAAACTGTAAGTCGTTGGATTTGGGCCGTCAATAAGTTATTTAGGTCGCGGTCACCTCGCTGGAGAAAGTGCTCACCCACGTGCTCGATCTCGCTCGAAAGCGCGCCGAGGAGGCCCAGAAGTCGTCGATTGACAAGGTCGAAGAGATTGACGATCTCGATTCTGGCGACAATCCGGAGCAGTGAGTTTCAGGAAAATTTTGGTACTGGATCATCATCGAGAGGATTGAAACCTGCCTATCCTAGGAGAATGGAGACATTTTCGGCATTGGGAATGGCAAACCACACGAAAAGATGCTTCTACGCTTTTTTTTTGATCGGAAACAAGTAGAATTCTTATACTGGGCATTTATAAGCTCGGAAAAGATTGTTTTTGGTCCCCTCCCCCCGATAACGATCCAGCACCAAAATTTCTCCAAAAACGTGTTTTAGCCTGCTCCTCTCCGTCGTCTCCGGCCACCTGGCCCAAGATCGCATGGACCGCACGGTGCTGGCCCCGTGGCTGCGCTTCATGTGGGACAGCTACCGGAACTCGCTCGAGCTGCTGCGGAACAACCACCAGGTCGAGGGCCTCTACAACAAGATCGCCCAGGCCTCGCTCGACTTCTGCCTCAAGTACCAGCGCCGCGCCGAATTCCGCAAGCTGACCGACCTGCTGCGTGGGCATCTGATGCAGATCCAGCGCCAACAACACTTGGCTCACGGGTATTTTCACATCGTTTTTTTTTGGAAATTTTGATTTTAGTGTGAAATTGAATTCGCCCGAGTCGCTGACGCTGCTCCAGGAAACCCGGCTCAAGCAGCTAAACACGGCCATCCAAATGGAGCTCTATCAAGAGGCCTTCAGGTATTGTTCTTCTCTTGCTTGCCATTATGCTTTTTTAGATCGGCCGAAGACGTGCACGGCATCATGCAGCTCTCCAAGGACAAGGATCGCCGTATGGTCCGCCCGGCCATCTGCTCCACCTACTACACCAAGGTGCAATAAAATTTCGAGTTTTCAAAACCATTTTTAGCTTGCCGTGGTCTTCTGGAAAGCTGGCAACTACCTGTTCCACGCGGCCGCGCTCCTCCAAAAATTCACCATCTGCAAGGACCTGCGCAAGAACTGGACCCCCGAGGAGGCCCGCGAGCTCGCCACAGCCGTTCTGCTCGCCATTCTCTCGATCCCGGAGGGCGCCGATCACCCGTCGCTCTTCAAGCGGGCGCTCGACCTCGAGGTGTACCACGGCGTCAATATGAGGTAATATTTGTGTTCGGTGTGGCAAAAAGTGCCTCCATCTATCGAGAATGCAGGAAAACAAGCGCTTTTGGTTTTCAGGAGCGTTTTAATGGTGTTTTTTATGATAAAAATCGTCAAAAATCCTTTTTGTGCAAGGTCATCATGCCGCAAAGGTGCTTTTTGTATCAAAAAAATCGAAGAAAACTAAATCCGCTTGTTTTCTCTCGTTTTCAAGTGCTTTTCAATAGTGTTGAAACCATTCCGGACCGCTAGAAAACTTTTTTATGATAAAATGCGCTCCGCAAAAACCACTATTTTCTAGGGTCCTCTCGAACCTGCTCGACCTCGCCATGATCCCGTCTCGCGCAAGCCTCCTTCGCGAAGCCGCACGCCAGGGCATCATCGAATCGGCCGACGAGACCGTGGTCAAGCTGTACGAACTGATGGAGATGAGCTACTCGCCAAATGAACTGTCCAAGAAAGCTGCCGAGGTTTTGACCGTCCTGCAGGGCCAGCCCGAATCCGCGCCGTACACCGAGGCCCTGCAATATTCCATCGCTGTCAAGGTCTTGAATCTGGTTTGTGAATTGCCGCCTGCCATCTAACATTTTTTAGGGTTCTCGCCTCTACCAAGTCATGTCCTGGGCCAAGCTGCGCCGGCTCCTTCCTTCTTTCGGAGAGCTCGAGATCGAGTTCTTCCTGGCCGAAGTGAGCAAGATGCGGCTGGTTAAGGTGAGCTTATTTTCACGACGGAGAAGAAACTTTTTAGTTCACCATCGATCATCGCAACGGCCAGCTGAACTTTGACGAGCCGGTCGGCGACACGCTCGCCGGCGGATTTGATGAAAGCGATCATGTAGGTGTTCTCCTGTTTTGTTATGAATTTCTGATTTAGCGCTCCGGCCACAACTTGCGCACCCATCTCGAGGTGCTGTACACGAAGCTGCAAGACTTTGACCTGATGTTCACCGGCGAGAAGAAGCGCGAGGAGGCCGTCGACAGGATCAAGAGGCTCGTCGGCATCTACAAACACCACAAGGACGCCGACTCTGACCGCTTCCACCAGCGCCGGTGAGGAAATGGCTTTTCCCCTTTTAGCAATCTCTTCGAAAACCTCATTTTGTAGCGATTTTCCGGCTTTTCCTATCAAAAAAGGAGCAAGAACTTGCTCTATTTCGAGGTTGCAACATAGCCATATACGCTTCTTGATCAAAATCGAATTTATCGGCAAAATTTTGCTTACAAAATTACGTTACAGCTGACATCAGCGTTTTTCTTTTACTTTCTTTGATAATCCTTGTGTTTTTTTAGTGTCAAGATCGAACGCAACAAGGAAGCCGGCGAGCGCCAAGTGCAAGAACTCAAGGCCCAGGCCGACCGCGAGCGCCAGCAACGCGCCGAACGTCAACGCCAGGAGGACAAGATCCGCCTGGAGAAGGCGCGCAAGGATCAAGAGCTCCGGCGCAAGGAGGTAATTTCATCGCTCTGACCGAAAACTCTCCTTTTTCTAGGCCGAGAAAGATGAGGTCGAGAAGAAGATACGGATGGAGAAGATGCGCAAGCTGCTGCAGAGCTCGCTCTACAAGGACGTCCTATCGAAGTACACCGAGGACGAGCTGGCCAATATGGACCCGGAGGAGATCATGCGTGAGCAGGTATGGATTTTGAGCATTTCGGCTTGTTCGTCTCGACGTTTAAAAAGATTATTTTTAGCGCATCGACATGGACAACAAGCGCCAGGCCACGCAGAAGCGCCTCGAGCAGCAGGACCGCAAATTCGACCACACGGTAAAACTTTGCTCTCGACAACAAATCCGTTTTTCTAGGTCCGTGCCGATCACATTGAAGAGGCCATCGAACGTCGTGCCCGCGATTGCCGGCGTCAAGAGACCGTGCCCAAGCTGTTCAACGCCTACGAGGAGCGCCGCATCGCCAAAATCATGTAGGTGACTTGTTCGACTTCTTGATGCCACTTTTCTAGGGCTGCCCGCGAATTCGCCGTCAACGTTTGGGGCAAGCTGCAGACGGTTGCCGATGAGGCGAACGCCTGGATGGCCAAGGTGAAGGTCGACAGGGCTGGGCACTTTGAGGCCAAGGTAAGGCTCTGCTTTTATTATCGAACTTTTCGCCCTTTTTTAGATGAACGACTTCAAGGAGAAGCTGAAGGCCGTGCGCGAGGATCGGTTGGCGTCGAGGGCGCTGGCACGCCGCGAGGAGCGCCGGCGGCAATGGCAACAGGTAAAAGCCTCACTCGCTTGCCCAAACTTTTGTTTAGGACCGGATCGAGGCTGAGGCTCGCCGGAAGAAGGAGGAAGAGATGCAGCGGGAGCAGCTGCAAGAGGAACAGCGCCGGGCTGCCCGTGGAGATCGCCCGGTAATAATTGCTCTCACGGCTTTTCATATTTTCCCGTTTAGGATCATCACCACCGCCGCGAGCGTGACGATGAGCCCTCGCGTGCGATGGCCGACGACAACTGGCGCGCCGGTGGCGGCGAGTCGATTGTGCGCCGCGTGGAACGCGAGCGTGAGCGTGACTTCGGAGGAGACCGGGACCGTCAACGCCCGTCGATGGCGCCGCGTGAGCCTCGTCAGGTAAAAAATTTCTTTTTTTTTCTTCCCCCTCCTCCTCCTCGATTTTCCTTTCTGCAATTTTGGTCATCTTCAGTCATAAATTGCCGCAAAAAGCCTCCAAATTTTGCTTATTTTTAGCAACCGACTGCCCCTGCCGACGCGGACAACGCCTGGCGCGCCGGGGCCCGCCCGCAAGCTGCCCGCCATCCGGAGCCGCCTCGTCATGCACCTGTATGTTTCCGAGTTTCTCCTTTTCAAATCCAAATTCAGGATTCGCATCGCCGCGAGCCTGTTCATCACCATGTCGCCGCCTCGGTGGCCGACACTGAAGACAAATGGGCACGTGGCAATGTTGTGGTGGGATTTGCGGATTTTTTCGCCTCCTATTATCACTTTTAGAAGCGCCAGCCGCCTCCCACTTCCGCCCCGCCTCCGGACCCGGCGCCTTCCGCCCCTGTTGCTGCCGCGCCGCCGGCCGCCCCGAAGAAGAGCGCCTACGTTCCACCACAGCGCAGGTACGAATTTCCTATTGCGATCAGCTTTCTTGTTTTTAGGCAGGCCATGGCCGCTGCTCAACCAGCTCCAGTTCGTCGCCAAGAAGAGGAGGTGGATGCCGAGGGCTTCACGACCGTCAAGACGAGCCGTGGGCCCCCGCGCTCCACGCCCACCCCGCCGGCGCCTTCGTCCTCCTCTCATGAGGTATGTTTGAGCTCGGCTTTTTTGAGTTATCTGGGAGAAAAGCCAATGTTTTTTTTTGCCTAGCAGGTCATTTTTATGATATAGAAGCGTTTCGAACTGATTTTTAAGATACCTATCCGTAAAGCTAGAGGTTTTTTTGAATTCTCAGCGATTTTCCCAAAATCGTGGTTTTTCGATCAATTAAAATTTTTGGTGTTTGTTAGGTTTTGTCATCAGTTTTTTTTTTTAAATATATTTAAGTCACGCCTTTACCTTTTGTTAAGTTGGGTGTGTAATATTTTTGGACATTTCTACCCTTTCGGGCAAAAATTCGCACCTCTACCCCAAAAAAACAAAATAACGTTTCTCTTTTTTAGCCTCCTCGCGGCGCTCAAATCCTGCGACGTCCGCCCGGTGGCCCCGCGAAATCTGCCGACGCCGACTCGGACTGGCGCAAGTAGACGACGCGAACGCCGCCCCGTCCAATTTAACACTAATCTTCCGTGACCCGCCCGCCCTCTTGTTCCCATTTCCGGCCGAGCTCTTTCTCGCTTGGCATTTGTTGTAAAAAAATGTTACTCTGTTGTCCGGGTCGCCTTATCTGTTGTTGAGGGTCTACTCTCCTGCTTATCCACTTGTTTCGATAAACTGTTTTAACTGTCTGAATTTTTCTTTTATATAAATTACGCGCTATCGCCTTGGTTGTCGAAGCTTTTGCGCTTTGTACGCGAGAAACAAGTCGATATTTAAGAATGCGATAAGTCGGCTTTGTTTTTTGAAGCGTTCGAAGAAAGTCGTAGTGAAAGTAATAGTTCGTTTGCGCGTACCTGTAGGCCGTTTCGACGGAAGTCTGATCCCTCCTCGATGAAGCGTTGCCTCTACTGAAAATGTTTTGATTTTGTTAATACGAGCCGCAAATATTATTTCCGCATAGTTTTAGGGACAATAGAGGGTTTTACTTTTAGGAATTAGTAATAACAATGTGTAAAAGTCCTTTTAAAATCATCGGAAGCCAATGTCCAGTTGAAAGCCTCATTTTCTTACTTGTCGTCGCTCCCTTTCCGCGATTCGCTGAGCTATTCGACTGTTCAAATTGCAGGGTGCGGCGGCGTTATTAGGACCATCTCGTTGCCGCCCTTTTTAGCGAAATTTTTCGGCAGACCCGATTGTTCCGGGCTGAAAATGCTTTTCTAAGTTTCTTCCTATCTTTTCTAGCTCTATAGAACAATTTTTCGCTGCTATTTTCTTCGCTTTTCGTTAGAAAGATTAATTTAGGCCCTTTTTCAGCGTCGCCATGTCGGACGTTGACATGAAGGAAGATTACGACATGAATTATGAGGATGGGGACGGGCAAGAAGAAGTGGAAGAAGTGCCCGAAGCGAAGAAAAAGGTAATTTTATTTCCATTTAACTTTACTCTTTTGTTTAGGTTTACGTCCCCGGGGTCAGCCGAGCACTACAAGAGGGCGAGGAGCTCGAGTTCGACCCCGAAGCCTACAAGCTGTTTCACACTTTTAATACAAGTGCGTTTCGTTTTTCATTGATTAAATGTTTTCGATTTTTTAGACTGGCCGTGCCTGTCGTTTGACGTTGTGCGCGACAACCTGGGCGATGCACGCGATAAATGGCCGATGGAGGTGGATTTTCGGGATTTTAAAAAGGAATGGTTTTTTTGTAGATGTACATCGCCTCCGGCACGCAAGCCGAAAAGCCCAAGCTCAACGAGATTTTCGTGCTCGGCGTCAAGAACCTGATCGGAAACGACGCGGTGAGTAAATTAGGACTTCCGGCTTAGTTAAAAATTGGAAAATACGTTGAATTAAAATAGGGAATTTGAAAAACGTACGGATTTTCCAAAAGTAATTCTTTCAGGATAAAAATTATAAGAAAAAAGAATTTGTTGCAAATTTGTTACAGCTTTTTGAAATTATTTTGTTTCCAGAAAGACGACGACGCCTCTTCATCAGACGACAGCGACGATGAGGGCGAGGAAAAAGAAGATAAGCAAGCCATCCTGCACTCCGTCTCCATCCCCCACTTTGGAGACGTCAATCGGACGAAGACCGCACGCCTTGGAGACGCCAACGTGCTCGCCGTGTGGAATGGGCAGGGCAAGGTGCAATTGTGGAATATTACAGGTATTAACTATTTTAAATCGTGCGAATTATCTGCCAGGAAATCGTAGCTTTTTTAGATGAAATAGAAAGTATTTTAATAGTGTTTTTGGCGGATTTTAGACAAATTTAAATGGAGGAGACTATTAAAACAAGCTTAGAAAGAAATTTTACAATTTTGCCAACTAATTTCGGGTCGGTTAGGTTGGAAAATCCTTATTTTCCATCACCATTTCGTATTTTTAGAAAATTTTACAAGTTTTTAGGTTTAAAAATTGGCTATTTTTTATTTTTTAGAAGCCCTAAACATGGCCAGCCAAATGACGGGCAAATCGGACAACAAGGTGCTCAAGGACCAGAAGCCGCTGTTCTCCTTCTCCGGCCACAACAACCAGGGATACGCGCTCGCGTGGAACCCGCAGGAATTGGTGAGGCTTTTAATTTTCTGATTTTTGTGTTTTTACTAGTAATTTTAGTTTTAAAAAAGTATTTTTAATGATTATCGTTCATAAGCTATTTTCCAGGGTCAATTGGCGTCCGGCGGCCAGGACCGCAGCATTTTCAACTACCACATGCAGGAGGGCGGCTCGTGGGTCGTCGATTCGAAGCCGTTGCGTGGCCATACGGTATTTTCCGATTGTTTTCGGATTATATGTATTTTAGAACTTCGTCGAGGACGTGCAGTGGAGCCCGGCGGACAAGTCGATCCTCATCTCGTGCAGTGGCGATCAAACAGTGCGATTATGGGACACGAGGTGAACAGGATTTTTTGTGATAATTCGAGATTCAGTTTTCGAATTTTTGCTGTCGAAAAAATCCTTTTATAGAAAATGAAAATCCATTTATTCAATTAATCGTTAAAAACAACATTTCTCAAACAAAGCTGTTGATCAATTGAGAAAACGTGATTCCGTTTCTGTAATTTTTTTGTGGTTTGGAAAAACGAAATTTCATTATTCTTATTTTCGACCAAACAAAAATGAGAATTTAGATACATTTTGGCGTTCTCAGTTTTCTCAACTTCTGTTTTTCAGGATACCGGCCAAGGATGCGTGCATCTGCGTCGTCGAGAATGCGCACGATGACGACGTGAATGTGCTGTCGTGGAACCCGAGCCCGATGAACCCCTTCATCCTGACGGGCGGCGACGATGCGGCGCTCAAGATTTGGAGTCTTCCAAGTCTGCGGGTATATTTTTTTGGAAAGATTTGCAAAAATTTTAACAGCAACGTTTGATTTTGCGGATTTTATTTTGAACGTTCACGTAATAACCGAAAATTCGAAATGCTGGAGAAATGTTTCAAAAATGTCTCGGACAAATAGAATTGAAAAACGCTTATTGTGTAGAGCTTAGGCAAATAAATTTTTCCCGTGTTTCTGTAAAATAAAAAGTAGTAAAATAATATACGTAAATTGTACCCAAATGATTTTGCCGTTTCCAGACGGGCCAACCGGTGGCCGTGTTCAAGCACCACACGAAGCCGATCACCTCCGTCGAATGGCACCCCAGCGACGACACGACGTTCATGGCCTCGTCGGAAGACGACCAGGTCTCCATTTGGGATGTCGCCATGGAGGTGAACTTTTAAAATAATGCTTTTGGCGCTTTTTACTATTTATTTCGTTTAATTTAGATAGCTTAATTTAATTTAAAATTCTAGCTAGTGACGGTAATTTGATTTTCCGGATTTTTAAAGGATCATGAACTCGTCACAATTAGGAATTAGATTCGATTCGAAAAGGTTTTGTAAAGTTAAAACATCCTTTTTTCAGGCCGACTCCGCCGCCGACGAGATTGACGGCGTGCCCTCGCAGCTGCTCTTCCTACATTGCGGACAATCGGAGGTACCTTACACGATTTTTGGCCGCTTGGGGTTCTTTTGCATTATCGGGGGTGGGAAACCAAATAAAATTCAGCTATATAGTGGAAAAATGGGCCCAAAAACTTAACGAAAAAAATGTTAGGGGGTAATTTTGTTCGAAAATCCGCCAATCTTGCTTGAATATAGAGATTTTTGTGTTTTTTAATCAAAGTCCGTAAAGTTTTTACGTTTAGGAATAGTAAAAACAGGTTAAACCCTAATTTAGTTTTCTATTTTTAGTAGCAAAACTGGTTCTAAACTAAGCAAACTATAAAAAAGCGCCAAAGTTTTTAATTATTTTAATTTTCTTTTTTTTCGTTTAAAAAGCTTTCAAAGTATCTATGGTTTTAATTTTCCGCTAATTTGTATCTTTTTTTCAGGTCAAAGAGGTCCATTGGCACCCCCAGTGCCCGGGCGTGGCCATCTCCACCGCGTTCGACTTCAACATCTTCAAGCCGATCAATTGTTGAATTGTTTTCCTTGCTCTCTCTCTCTTCCCTTCCGTTGTTTCATTGTTTGATCGTTTGTTTGTTTGTTTTTTTTTGTTGTCAAATCTCCCATTTTGCGCGCGTTAGTTTACTTCCGCTTGTTTTGTTGTTTGTTGTGTCTGGAATAGACGGCGAGTCTAGGGCTCGTGTTTTTAGTAGATTTATTTATTTACCGGGGAACCAAGAAATCAGAAGAAATACGCAATAATCTTTCAAACAGATAATCGAATTAGCGTAATTAGAGGAATTACAATAATGAGTAGAGTACAGTAATACCCGTGGAAACACAACTTTAGTGGGAAAATGGGGGAAATTGATTTTTCTAAGATCTTGAACGAGATCGCGACGACGACGGCGAACGGTGGCGTTTGTGCTTCTTCTCGCGCTTCTCCTTCTTCTCCTTTTTGCGCTTGCGGTGGGCGCGTTCGTCGTCGCTGGAGTCGCGCGGGGAATCGTCACGCCGCTTCGACGACCGCTTCTTCCGATCCCGTTCCGCGTCACTTCCGCTTGAATGCCGCTCACGTCCGCGTCGCTCGCCGCCCACGTAGTCGCGACCGCCACGTCGACCGTCGTCACGCTGAAAATCCAAAAATTACTAGAATTTTACAAAAACAAATTTTTTGAATTTTCAAGAGGGCTTTTATGGAGGAAACAACCTAAATTTCGCATATTTTATTAACAATTACAACCTTTTAAGCTGTTTTTTAGTATAAAAATCGTGCGTAAAATTCAAAACGGTTCCGAAGTGCTAATTTTGGTCGAAAACTTATAAAAGATGAGAAAAACCGGTCAAAATTCAGCTTTTCAAACAGTTAAACGTTTTTTTTATGTTTTGAATTGACCAGAAAACACCAAAAATTCGCCTAAAATATCGTATCTTTTATTCCTAGGCAGGTATGCGCTAAAATCCAATATTTTACTTGCTACAAACGTTTAGACATGTTACAATGATAAAACGATACCTTCTCCCTCGAGCGATCCCTGTCCCTCGGTCGTTCTCGATCCTTCGACCTCTCCCTCGATCGGTCCCTCGATCGTTCTCGTTCTCGATCTCCCTCTCCTCCTCCTTCACGGCCCTTGTCCCGGTCTTCCCGCTCGAAGCGTCGTCGATTGTAGCCGCGCAGCTTTTCGCGTCGTTCCTTGATGCTGGCGCGGTAGGCTTCTTCCGGGCCGGCCACTCTAAAAAGCGGAAATACGTTTTAAAAAGCTTTTTTCATACCTTTCGACGCCCCTGCCCTCATCGTCGAAATAGGCGAGCACCTCCTTCTCGGCGTCTTCCTCTGAAAAGGAACGTTTGGAATAAGACGAAGATAGCCGTATTTTTGTTTATAAAAAATTAACGCCGTCGTCTATGCCTAAAACCACAAAAAACATGTTTAAAAATTACTCTTTTTCTCGGCCTCCTCCTTCAGCCGGGCGCGCTTGGCGAGAATGTTGGCCTTCAGCTCCTGGGCCGTCTCGTTGGCCCCCTTCAGCTTTAGCGCAACCGCTTCCGGATCCTTGGCTCGGCTTGCCTAAATTAAAATTTTTATCGATAATTTTTTAGAAAATTTTAATTTTTTAACTAACGTTTTATTAGTCGTAAAAAACAAAGTTTAATGATCATTATTTTCATTAAAAAGAATTTTAGTCTATTAATATAATTTTTCGCTGTTCCCTTAATCTCTAAAGCTAAATATCAAAAACGAATTTTCGACTGCTTTAACAATTTTATAAAGTTTGCAAACACGACGAACCTGCAGCACACTAGCGAGTCGTTTCTTCCGGTTCTCCTCCTCCTGCTTTTCCTTGAACAACCGCTGCTGCTCCTCCATCCAGATGCGCTCTTGCTCCTGGCGCTTGCGCTCGACCTCCTCGCCCCATTGGCGGTGGACGAACCCGTATTCCAGGTGGAATTTGCCGGCAATCCGCCGGTTGCCGTGATGCGCCAGGGCGGCCGCCAGCTCGGGCGTCATTTCCTGAAAAACAAAAATTTAATCCACTTTTTAAAAACCCTACCGGCAGCTTGAAATCGGGCGTCTCGTGGTGCATCATTTCGGCTTGTTGCGCTTCGTCGACGGCCGGCATGAAAAGCTGCGGAGGGAGACGACCGCCGCCCCATCTAAAAAAAGAGGATTTGGACGAAATTTTCGAGCCTACGTATCAGCCTGCTCCTTGGTGTACAGCTTCTTGAAGTCGGAGAGCTTCACCGGGGTGCCGTTCATGTCGAACATGATGAGCTGCTGCGTGAAGTCGTCGTTGAAAGGGACGATGGGGAGGCCTAAAAAGTCATGATTCGGGGTAAAAATGTGATTTTCTACCAGCACGGGAAAGCCGCTAACTTTCCTTGATTAAAAGAATTTTAGTAGATTTCGTATCATTCAAAAACTTCTCGTTTTTTTTCAGAAAAACCCGAAAGAAAGAAAAAAAAGAAAAGAAAGAAAGAAAGAAAGAAAGATCGAGGTTTTCAAACGTAAATTTAGGAAGTAAACAAAACAATTGAGAAAGCAAAATTAGAAAAATCTAGAAAGTACATTTTAAAAATTTAAAATTTTAAAGTTCTTGGTAATTTTTATGGAATTCCGACACGCTTTGGCCATTTTTCGACCTGGAAACAGTATAAAACGATATAAAAAAGTACAGGCTTTTTCGACAAAAATAAAGGAAATTTTTTGAAAAACTAAAAGCAAACAATCTTTCTGCCAAATCATTATCCCAAAATTTTACCTTGTTCATCGTATCGCACGCAGGGCACTCCTTGATAATTGACCGGCGGGTAGGGCTTCCCTTCCTCATCTACCGGCCATATGATAGAGCCGGAGGGGTCGAGCGGGAAGTGGGGAAAACCTAATCAGACGAAATTTTTGAAAAAATTAGAAATCAACGCACCGTACAAATCGAGCGGCACGATGGCGTGGCCGTGGTCGGTGAGCGGCACGACGGGAATGCCGTCTTCGGTGTACAGGAAATCCTGCTGCTTCGTCTCCAGGTTGACCGGGAAAAGCGGAAGCCGATTCTCGTCGCACGGGAAATACTAAAAAAAGCGTTTAGGTAAAGTTTTTCGAGGCTTCGAATTTATCCTTTAGAACCAACTTTCGATAATAATAAGGTTTCTAAACCGTATTTACTATTCCTAAACATCAAAATTCTAGAAAAAGCTATTGAAAATATAAAAACTTCAATTTTTTCGAGCAATAAAACTAAATCACATTTTAGTTTTGAAAGTTTCTAAATAGTTTTGCCGCTGAAATGTGGCCGAATTTCGCGTTAAAACTATGAAAATAGCTGTCATCACGTTTCTATAGATATTTAGAGCGCTTGTAAAAATCTGGATCCTCGAAAAACCTAACCCTAAAAAATTAAAAATTTCGAAAACCGGAAACAAAAAATTTACCGGTTCCCCATTGTGCTTCCTGGGCACAAGCTGCTGGCCCTTCTGGTTGTAGGCGTACACGGGCTGCTGGTAGGAGTCGCGCGTCACCGGGACCGTCGAGTCCACTAAACAAAATCACTGTTTTAGAGCCGAAAACCGGGGAAAAACCGGACTAGAGTCAGTGAGTGTGGTTGGTACACATTCTCGGGGCTCATTTGGATAGTGCGGATAGAGAGCGGCAAGCGCGAAACACCTTAAACATGGACTATCAGGTCAACGGGAACCGGCGGCCAACCATTTCCTTGTTACCCGGCTTTTCTAAGCGAGGCGCAGCCGGCACAGCGATATTGCTTTCCCTCCTTCCAGGGAAAGCCAAGGCCAAGCCCCCCGAGGTGGCTTACCTGCCCTTACCGCATTATATTCGTGGAATCAGCCAAAAATTGGAGATTTTATAATGGTCGGGAGGCCCGAAAAATTACTTTTCACGTAAACGACGGTGTCCTCGCGTTCCTTGGCACGGCGGGGCTGTTGGGCAGACTGAAAAATGGATGAATCATTTATATTTCTTGATTTTTACTAGTTTTATGATGTTTTTCATAAAACCCTTTTCATGATTTGAAGCGGACAACTTTAGAAAAATTAGGAAAATCCACGAAAAAGTCGGCATTTCGGTCATTGTCAGTTGAAAAAATGGATTTTTCGCTCTAAATCACAAAAAAACTACTTTAAAACCCTAAACAAAACTTTTTATGCCTCTAAAATAGCTCGAATTCTTCAAAAACAGTAAATAAACACTTTAACGGAACTTAAGAGGCGATACGAGCGCTCAGAAAAACGTAACGGAAACGCGATCAAAAACCAACCGGATCGTTGACCTGGCCAGCTCCTTGTGTTTTCCAGTCGAAATCCTTGAACTCGTTCGTCGCCACGTCCCTGCGATACCACTTGCCGTGGGCCAGCTCCTGCGCGAAGATGTTCTTCTGAAAAACGGAATAAAAACATGGAAAATGAGCCGACCTCCTCATTGTAGTCAAACCATCGGTAGGCGCCGTCACAGGAGGCGAACTTCAGAAAATCCCAGCGGAATCGAGCCGGCGTGCCCGGGGCCGGCCGTACTTCTGGCGGGGCCACTAAAATAAGACTAGTTTACTAAAAATAACTTGAAAATACCCTGTGAAGCGCCGCCATCGTCGCTGTCCATGTCCATATCCATGTCCATGTTTGTTGAGGTAACCCTGGAATGAGAAGTTGCCAAGGCTAGACGCAAAAATAAAAGCAATAAAAAAGAACAGATTTTAGCAACCAAAATAAGCTGATTTTCGAAAAGATCGCAGTTAGAAATCGGCACAATCAGCAGACGAAGCACAGAATTAGCCGGGCTTCAAATAACGGCACGGCCTAGGAAAGAAAAGCAAAATTCACAACCCGAGCGATTATCGAGAGCTATAGAAGCATTATTACCAGGCATGGCCGAGAAAGAAACTCAATTCATTTTCTTAACTAAAGCTAACTTTGAAGAGTTACGTAATTTTTTATGGACAACTATTCAACGTCCTCGAGGTCGCCTAATGGTATAAATCTTACCCAAAACGAAAAGCCCATCTTGTATAGTACAAAACAAAAAGAC